ACCTCTCATACTTAAACTGGGGTAGACAGCACACTCTTACCACAAGCCCCAAATGTCAGTTTGCTAGATGCAGGTTGTAACTCACTAGAGTAAGAGAAATGAAAGTCAAAGCAACTATGAGATTCCATTCTTGACTCAGAAATTTGTCAAAGATAAAAAATAGTCAATTGTAATAGTCAACGTTGGAAGGGCTGCGGAAAGATTGGGACGTTAACGTACTTTTGGTGAAGCAGGAGATTGCTCCTACCATTATGGAAAGCAATTTGGAACCAACGGAAGAAAGTAACAAAAATGTTCATACCGTTTGACCCAGAAATCCTACTGTCTCACATATAACCCAAGGAGGTCAAGTGACAGAAAGAAAGAGTCTAGGATATATCAAAATACCTATAGTAAGATTCTTTATAGTAGAAAAGAACTGCAAACGAAATAGATGCCTGTGGCTTGTGAATGGTTAAACAAGTTCTAATATATGAATATCAGACAGAATATTATTGTGCTTTAAGAAATGATGAATAGAGAAGTATGGGAAGACATATAACACTATGCAAAGCAGAACCAGGAAAACAGTATATAGAATAACACTACATGCAATATAAATTGAAAAATCAAGTATAATAAAATAATTGAAATGGATATTATAAAGTTATAATAACCAAGTTTGGCCCCAAACAAGAGATAGGGCACCTAACCCCTATTCCTTCCTTATAGAGATGGTGGACCAAGAATGTGGAATGAAGCATATGTCAGATATTTTTGTTTTGGTTGGTTTTGCTGTATTGTTCCCTCCCCTCTTTTTTTTTTTATTCTTTATATAGGAATCAATCTTTGGGAGGGGAGGAGAGAGATACATTGGGAAATATAGATGATATAAATAAAAAAGAAAACAATCATGTTTTACAATTTTAGGTATGTTGCAGATAGTAAATCCTGTGTTGGATAACACCCTAGGTACAGATCAGTGACCCATACAACCCTCCTCAATTCTGCCTGACAGACTCTGTCTGTCTGTTTCCTCCTAGACTCTGCTCAAATACCACCTTCTAGATGAAGCCTTTCCCGATTTCCCCAAATATGAGTGCTGCAACCCCTTAATTACTTTGTATTTGTATGCCATTATCCTGTACATACTTACATATGCTCAGTAAATACTTGTTGACTCATGGTTTGACCTCTGACTCGGGGTCCAAAAGAGTGATTCACTGGAGGAGGGGCAGGGCAATAGCTCTCCACGAGGCCCTTCAACCACAAAAGGTCAGAAATGTGTTCTGACATGTCTTCATAACCCAGCTAAAGCACCATCTCCTACATAAAACCTTTCCCATGGACAGAGAGCAATTGTTGTTTGTATCACTAAGGTGGCACTTGGTATATGCTACTTGACATTGTTACTTATCTTTTAAAGTCTCTGTTCTGTCTCCTCAGAACAGCTCCAAGTGCCTGACAGTAGGGATCATCTCTCCCACAGTTGGTCATCAGGGCCCTCACACTATCTCCTCCATGTGGTAAGCATTCAGTACACATTCGAGCTGATGATAAATAACTGCTTTGGCTCAAGTATCTACAAGTTTGCCTTTCCTGAACCTAGCTATATCAGCAACCTCTAGAGCTGGATGTTTCCTACCTACTATTTAAAGTTATGAGGCCTTTTTGGGTGGGTTTTAAATATACTTCCTTCAAGTTTCAAAGTGATGAGGATAGGTCTGTGAACAGGTCGGTGTTCACTTTAACCATTTCCTTCAGAATTTTAGGACTCATTTATCTAACAAATGCTTATTTGTGCTGTAATATGCAAGTGGCACATTACTAGATATTCTAAGGTCATAGGATCTCAGATCATAAGACAAGACCCTGGACAAATGTCTATCCAATCTCTTCATTTAATGGATGGGGAAACTGAGGCCTGGAAGGGGAATATCGAGCTGGGAATGGAATTGCCCAAGGTCACAAGGCTCCTGAGTGACTGAGCAAAGGCTGAAATGAAACAAAAAAGGGTCCCTTTCTCAAGTCTTAGTCTTTATAGACAGGAAAAACCTAATCTTTTTCAGTCTATCTTCAAGGAAGTAACTTCATTGTTTTAATCATCTTAGTTACTCACAGAAAGTAAAAACCTTATCATGGAAGTAAAAATCACCTACTCCTTAAATTCCTCAGGCACTATATCATTTAGTTTGAGAGCAAGATTAGAAATCCGAACTTGGCAATCTCTGCTTTTCCTTTCCTTTCTTTCTTTTTTTTTCTTTTTGGTGAGGCAATCAGGGTTAAGTGACTTGTCCAGGGTCGCACAGCTAGTAAGTGTAAAATGTCTGAGGCCGGATTTGAATTCAGGTCCTCCTGACTCCAGGGCTGGTGCTCTATTCACTGCACCACCTAGCCTCCCCAATCTCTGCTTTTTCTGAAACAAACCCAATTCATATTTGTCATCACAAGTAATATCAGCCACCTTAAGGACAATTTTGCTATAGATGTCATATCAATACTGACTTGATATATTGTATTCAATTCCTAGAAAGACTATATAAGTGACCAATGTTGTGCCCTAGGATGAAAGGTCCCAAGAAAAACTCCACCAGGTCTTCCCTTTTCTAACAATCACGTACCTCTGTTCTACCTTACCTTGATCTGTCTTACCCTTTGCATCTATATACTAACAAGAAACAGATCATATATTTTTTGACTTTCTATGGACATACTGGGAAGAACTTCTAGTATGAGAAAAGTCCCCAGTATGAAGATCACATGTCCTCCTATCACATTGTGTTCTGCTCTGGAAGCAACACTTTAAGACAGATCATGGCAAATTCACAATCTTTTCATAGGACAGTGAGAGGCCTGACAACCATGACCTCTAAGTAACAGCGGAAGGAACTACAGAGATTAATACCTAGAATATGGGGAAGACATATTTGAAGGGCTGCCATAAAGAAGAGAGAACCAAAGTTGAAAACAAACTGGAAAAAAATCTGCATCAAACACTGACAATAAAAGTTGCAGAAGTTTATAAATAACTGACAGATTTAACAGAGTATAAGTCATTCTCCAACTGATAAGAGGGCAAAAGATATGAACTGGTAATTCTTAAAAGGTATGAACTATCAACAATCACAGGGACAAGTTCTCAAAATTACTAACAATTACAGAAATGTGAACTAAAATAACTCAGATCCCACCTGAATTCTACCAAACTGGTGAAGATAACAAAAGCACAAAATTTTTGGAAATTACCTTCGGAAAGGAATGTGGAATTATACAACAAATGTCACAATGATGTGCATCCTGTTTGACCTAGCACTGTCCTAAGAAGATTATTGAAAAGAAAAAAAAAAGATCCACTGATTAAAAAAAAGATTCCTAAGAAACACTATTCGTAACAGCAAAAACAAAAAAAAAAGCTAAGTGTATCCATCAATTAGGAAATGGCTAAGTAAATGATGGTAAGTGAATATAATGGAACATTACTGTTCCTTGAACAGGACACTCCCCTAACTCTAGGCATTTTCACTGGTTGCCCCCCCACCCCATGCTTAGAACTTTTTTCCTCCTCTTCTTCGCCTCTTGGCTTCTCTGACTCCCTTCAAATCACACATAAAGTCTCACCTTCTGCAAGAAGCCTTTCCCAGTTCTTCTTAATCTTAGTATCTTCTCTCTGAGATTATCTCCAGTTCATCTGTATCTGTCTTGTTTGCACACAGCTGTCTGCAAGTTGTCTCCCCCGTTAGGCTGAGAGTCCTTGAGAGCAGAGACTATCACGTCTTTCTTTGCACCCCCAGCACAGCTCCTCCCACCAGCTCGACTCCGTGGATTTGACTCCATCATAATCATGCTCTCAGGGAAAGCTCATCATCCAGGAGACTGCATCAGCTTTGGCACTCACCCATCATCGGTTCCCCCTGCCTCTCTCACTGGAGGGCTGAGCAAAACCTGGCTTCTAAAGACTCGATTTAATTTAAAGAAGGCATGCAATCCAGCCATTTCCCACCAGCTACACTCCCTAGATTCAACTCCGCTATCCTCATGCCCCCTGCACCAGTTACCTTCTCAGACCCATCCCATCCCTTTCACTTTTCCACTTCCCTTTGTGTGTTGTCTTTTCAACATCAGATTGTAAGCTCCTTGAGGGCAAGGTCTGTCCTTCTTTTTCTCATCTGTATCCCCAGCACTTAGCAGAGTGCCTTGGTACATAACAGGTGCTTAATGTTTACCAAAGTGAACACATCAGGTGCTTTATAAATGCTTGTTGACTAACTGATTTTCTCAAAGTCACACAGTGTATGAGTAGAAAAGCTGGGTCTTGGTCCAGTGTATTCTGGTACAAATCTCATAATTTGTATTTATAATTTGTTATCATAATACTCATAATTCCTACCCCTGTGACAAAGGGAATAGATAACATTTACAAAAGCAAAGTTAACAAGCCTAAGAAAACCCTATTGCTACTCTATGGTCTGATTTCAGAGATAGCTATGTTTGGGGCTGAATATGGTCTCAACTGTAAGGCAATTTTCATAGTGAAGGCTTAGGGCAAGGTTCTCCACTTTGGTTTTTTTTTTTTTTGAGGAAGAGATACTTTTAACTTTCCTTAAGCCTTAGGACCAACAGGGTGACAAAAGTAGGAGTGCTGTTTTTAGGGGACACAATTCCTTGAACAGAGCAGGAGAGGAGAAACTCCTACTCCCTGAAATCTATTACTTCATGAGAATCCTGATAAAAAACTCAGAGATAGAGTTGATAGATAGAGATAGATGGATGGGGTTTGGGGAGGGCTCGGCTTTGAATCTATGACAACAGCTTGATCTACTGGTTCAGAACCCATTTAGAGTTTAAGGATCAGTATGCAAAAATACGCTTTTGTAAGAAATTTAAAAGAAAACCCAGACACCTGAAGGCATTTTTTTCCTACAGATAATGGAAAAACATGACAAGCACTTCACAACTAGTCCTACTTCACCTTGTTCATCCAGAGGTGAACAAACCTAAAAGAGAAATTGAGCACAGCCTACCTGAATCAAAGCCAACACTTTGTCATGGACGATAGTAGGAGGATTGTTCTTAGGGGAGATGATTTTTACAAGGACACCATCTATGAAATCACGGTTTGCCACAAGGATATGAAATCGATGGCCACAGTTCTTGACACAAGTCTCCAGCACCTAATTTAGAAAAGAAAAGAGGCCATCACTGTTGGAACAAATAGCTGGGACACATTTTTTGCTCCACTAAGTCCTATGACCCCACAAAATAATCAGGAAATTAGTTGTTAATTTAAATACAAGTTTTGCATGACAGGGAGCTAGTATTTTAATAAGATCAAAATGACTGACTTCCCCTTGAAAAATAAGCATTTTAACCCTTCTCTCTGGGCTTAGCTAGTAAGATACCAGCTTTGTCACAAGGAAAGGATTCTGTGACAGCCTGCATTAACTCTTGTAGGTGGAAGAGCATACACAACAGCAACAGGAGCTAAACTTCTTTTCTTAATTTTTAAAAGTTCTTAGCATTAATTTTTCAAAATTTTGAGTTCCAAATTCTCTCCCTCTAGGCCCCACCACCACCCATTGGTAAGGCAAACAATATTGTTCTCATTATAGATGTGGTGTCATGCAAAACATATTTCTGTATTAGCCATATTGGGGGGAAAAAACCGAGTAAAACAAAGTGAAAAGCAGTATGCTTCAATCTGAACACTGGGTTCATCAGTTCTCTCTCTGGAGCTGTATTTTTCATCTTGAGTCCTTTGGAATTGTCTTAGATTATTCAGAATAGCTAAGTCTTTCACAGGTGATTACTGTTACAATATTGCTATTACTATGCACAATGTTCTCCTAATTCTGCTCACTTCACTTTGCAACAGTTCATATAAATCTTCCCTGGTTTTTCTGAAATTATTCCCCATGTCGTTTCCAGAAACTAAAACTATAAATATACACTATTTGCCTTAGACAAACTGTATTTTTTAGAGTTGACAGCCAGCATTAACGTGTGAGATATTCCCAACATTGTCTATTCCTTTTTTTTCCGAGGTAAATGGAATCTAAGGTTTAAACTAAGCATTGATACTAGTAGGTCATGGCATGGCACAGTTGTGAAAGGCTTTCAAATTTGCCTATACTTTTCATTTGGGAAGGGAGGAAAAATTAGGTCCCTTGAACTACTCTCAACTAAGAGGGTTCTGCCATTTTGGAAAGTAGTTAAGTTTGAGGGACCTTATATAACTTAATTACTATACTTTATCCTTCATTTTTCTTACTTTAAAATAATTTTATTGATACCTTTTGTTTTTTTATCATAGAGATTTCAACCCTTCCCCAACCTAGACTGAACCTTCTCTCATGACAAAGAAAAACAATAAAGCAAATACATCCAAAACATTGACCACATTTGATAATATATACAATATTCTGTTCTGGTGGTCCCTCTCCTCTCTGCCATGGTGGGTGGGGCAGAGTACTTGGGGAAGGAAGTATGTTCTATTTTTTATCCTCTGGGAATTGGCTTTTTAAAATTTACTTCGAGTTGGGCTTCCTTTTTAGTAGCTTTTAATTTATATTGCTGTAGTCATTGTATAAATTATTCTCTTAGTTCTGCTTTTCCCCTCCTTTGTTTCAATTCAGAGCAACACGAGAAGATTTGTGTTAATTCCTCATATTTATCATTTTTTACTATACAATATTCTATTACATTTCTATGTTTTTTCTTGCCTTAAAACAGTTACTTTTAACTTAATAGCCTAATGTCTTATGTAAATAAATCAATAAAACAACTCAATAAATTGCCCATACTGCCCTATATGACAGAGTTTTGATGTAGAGCAGTAACATCATAAGTAAGGATGCTGCTAATACTAATTTCAGACATAAACAGTACATTAACATGACACAAGCCTGGTTTCTCTGGTTTATCCTAACTCAGGTGCTTCATGGTTTCCATGGCTATTATTCATGGCATGTGTATGTTATTTAGAATCAGGTTTCCTTTAAATGCAGCACAGCTTTAAATTCTACAATTCTATTCTAACTAGCTTCCCACTTAGAACCTGAAAAATGTGGCTTGTGAACTCTACTGTGGAAGATTCTTAGACTTCTTATTTTCTTTTTTTTTTTTCCAGTTTTCTTTTTTTATTTTTTTTAACATGTGTTTTTGTAGACTTCTTATTTTCAAAGGGTTATTAAAAAAGGCTGAAGTCATTTGCTTTTCCTGGTCAGTTAATTTGCTTAACTGGAAATGACTGATAATCAATCAATACCTCCAGTTTTTAGGTGGACATATTTCCATAATTTTTTTCAGTTAGCCTGACAAGTTTCTCACACTTGGAGACATCACACTTAGGTATAGAGGAAGAGAAAGGGTGACTAGGAGTTGATGCAAGGAAAATAATCACTCTGTTTTTTAGGCCAAAAAGTTTCAAAGTCAATTTGTCAAAGTCTGTTTGGATCACAGACACTAGCTCAGTTCCCAAAAGTCAAAGCCAATTCAATTTGAAACTGAATGGTGAGTGCTATAGGTTAAACCAGATCACTGCTACCTCTGAGAGAGATTAAGAGGAAGATTTTCCTTGTATTTGTACAGCACCTGGTACATAAAAAGCCTTAATAAAAAACTCTATCTATCTATCTAGGAAACCTCTCTGAGCTGGCAAACACTAGAAGAACAAGATCCTGTCTGATTTCACACCTACCCTGATGTCCTCACAATAGATTATGAAGCCCCAAGACACAAATTTTCCCCAAGTCTTATTAGGTTAGAGTGGGCTTATTTAAGTGCAACAACAACAAACAATGTACAGCAATACTTGACTGGAAGACACTAATATGGCAACTATAACCATGTGGACTATATCTGAGAACCAGAAAGTAACCAAAAAATATTGCGCCAAAATAGATATCCCCAAATTTATGCACTTTTCTCAAAAGATAGCCTCCCAGTCTTCTCTCAACACTTATTTATTCTTAATTTTGACATAATTTTAACAAATTTCATTTTTCTGGCTTCCCAGTTCACAGCTGATTCAAGTGAGGTTGGAAGGCATGGCTTTCACTAAACATACTGACAATATTGATAACTGACACTGAGGAAAAAGACAGAAAAACCATACAAAGTAGACATAAGCATTTGAAAAACAACAGTTTGAAGCCACTTAGTGCAGAAGTAAATGGTGCTGCACACATGAATAGAAGGGCATCATTATACTGAAGCACAGCATGGTAATTTTTCACTTGCATGGAATAGCTTATTTCCTGATGACTTCAGATAAATAAAATGTTACTGTAATGGAATAATTCAGACTGGGCTCATTTGTCTCAGTGAATGTCACACACACCCTGGTTGAAATGTAAAAGGAAGGATTTTCTCCTCCCAACTTCTTATCCAACATCATTCAAATCTCAATCTCCTTGTAAAAGAAATATACAAAGGCCTAGTTTTTCACTTCAGGTCAAAGGAAAGTTTCTCTGACTATAAAGGTAACACGTTAAAACAAAATAAGATAAATGACCTACTATCTCAAACCTAGATACTGATTTACCTTAGTTTATTACATGAATTGACTATGACCTAGATTTTTATCTTTCATGTAGCAATACTACTCACAAACATATGGTTCCCAGGTATCATTTCAATTTATTGCTTTAAGGGAAAGCAAAAGTCAATCTGTTGCTTCCTAAGAGTACCTACGGAAGATAGGGTTAGACAAGAGAAATAATGCTTTGCATTATATATACCATAGTTTATGTTTGTAAATTTTTTTTCCAAAGAAAATTTCACATCTACTATCTCATTTCATCCTGCACAGCAAATAGGGCAGGCATTATCACTTTCATTTCAGAAAGAAGATATTCAGGCTTGGAGTAGGTTAAGTGACTTGCCTGAAGTCACAGAGCTAGCTGGCAGCTGAGTACCAACCAGACTTTGACCACCAGAACCTAGGTTTTCAGATTCTCAGCTTTGTGTTCCTCTCATGAAACTACAATGTTTCCATTTCTTAGTCAAATGACTCTTTGCAAACAAGTATTAACCTCATATTTCAAAGAAGGAAACTAAACTATGGAGAACTTCAAGAGCATGTCATAAATCACATAGTAAAGATTCAAACCCAAGAAATCTTGACTTCATGGAATATGAGGGACATATGTATCATGCACATGACCACAGGTCTTGGAGGTAGAAGGTACTGATTTCTGTAGGTTTATTTTGTATCCTGCTACCCTACTGAAGCTATTGTCTCAAGTAGTTTCTTTGTTAGTTCCCTAGGATCTTCTAAGTAAGCCATAATGTCACTAGCAAATAGAGATAATTTTATTCCCTCTCTATCTTAATTTTTAGTTTCTTTCTCCTTCCCTATTACTGTCAGTACCATATTGGTTTCTAGTGTGTCCCCATTGCATATAATGCTAACTTTTATTCAAAACTATTTTTTATCATATTTTTTAAAAAGATCCTTCTATGGCCATGCTCTGAATGGTTTTTTAGAATAAATGAGTGTTGCATTTTGTTAAAGGCTTTTTTCTGCACCCACTGTTACAATTATGTGGGGCTAGATATTATTTATTTTTAATGTCATTATGTTAATTACTTTTCTAATGCTGAATCATCCTTGTGTCCTGCTATAAATCCAACTTGGTCAATGTTCTTTAAAAGTTTAATAGAATTTGCCTGAAAATCCATCAGGATCAGGGTTTTTTTTCCTTCTGCAGTTCCTTTATAGTCACTTCAATTTTTATTTCTCATGAATTCTCAGTTTGCATAATGTATTGAATAGCCAGAGAGAGAGGGAGAGATGGCTTGGATATGAGACAAATGAAATAAGATGGTTCTTTTTTTAAAACATAGTAATTAATATATATATATATTTTTTATTATGAACTTAATCATCAACAAATACAAATGTCTCAATATACAAAGAACAACAACAAAAAAAGAAAACAGCACATGAAACTGCGACCTTCTGTCCCTCTCTTTTACAAGGAGCTTTCATGTAACTTTGGAGACTGATACTCACTGTTAATGCCAACATCACTTCCCTGTAGTTTCTGTTTCCGTTGAGCCTCTTTTTCAGGGCCCGTATGGCATCCTTGGGACTAAAACAAAACATGTGTTTAAAACCCTTGAAGATTCCACAGGTTAAATTTGAAAATACAAAATCATTCACTATGCTCCTAAGGTATATGTGATACTGTCGTACAAAAAGCTTTCATATCTGTTATCCAAAGTTATTCTGTGAAGAAGGACAGAGCTGGTTTCTGACATCTGACTCAGCGACACTTACATAGACACAGACGGACCAGGTAAAACAGACACTGAAAAACTGTGGAGACCAGAACAGGTGTCACAGGACCTGAAACGGGCAAATAACAAAAGGGAAGAGGGCAAGATCTGCAGACTCGAAGTCAGTGAGCCTCACTTGAACTTCGGGAAAAATTCTAAAATGTATTTTCTTTAAAAGGATGGCATGTGAACATTTAAAAAGGGAAATGGTGATCACCAAGAACCAGCATGGCTTCATCAAGAACAAGTCATGCCAGAGTGGCCCTTTTCTGACAGGGTAACAAGGCTGGTAGACTAAGGAAATGCCACAGACACAACATAACTAGGTTTCAGCAAAGCATTTGACAAAGTCTCTCACATGTCCTTTTTTTTTTTAGGCAATTGGGGTTAAGTGACTTGCCCAAGGTCACATAGCTAGTAAGTATCAAGTGTTTGGTCTGAGGCCGGATTTGAACTCAGGTCCTCCTGACTTCAGGGCCGTGCTTTATCCGCCCCTCTCACATATCCTTTTGAACAAGTTAGAGAGAAATAGGTTAGGCACAGCTAAGCAAACAATACGAAGCGCACCTTAAAAGATTTCATTGTTTTAGTAGACTGCAAGCTCAATGAGGCAGTTATGTAACACAGCAGCCAAAAAAGCTAATGAGATCTAAGGCTGCAGGGATAACAAGAGTGTCCTTCAGGACTAGGAGGATGAGAATAACACTGTACTCTGCCTTCATCAGGCCACGTCTGCAGTAATGTGCTTAGTTCTGATCATTGCATTTTAGGACACCAATAAGCTTGTGAGCATTGGAAGAGAGTGGACAGGGTGGCAAAAGGCATCGAGATCATGCTCTTTGTGGTAGGAGAAACAGGGAAGTTAGAAGATGGGCAGGTCTTTCACTATCAAGGCTAGCTAGAAGACTGAAGGAATTAAAAAAAAACTCGATGGGTCACTGGAACAAATGGCTCAGGAGAACATGGTCCAAATGGGCTGATGCAGAGCTCTTCTTGGTCAGTTACATTGGTTTGGGGAGCTCACAAGACTTACCTAGTTAAATGAATTAGAGGTCATGGATGGAGAGTTTGGCATACCTGCTTCCATAAAGATGAAATCTTTCTGCAACTCGTTATCCAGTAGGACTTAACACGGGAAGGGACGAAGTCCTTTGAAAGGATGGGTTTGGTAAACTAGATCTAAGCTACTTCACCATAACTACCAACTCCCTATGAACAGCTAATGTCAACTGATGAAATGCGAACAGGACGCTGGGATAGCCCAAAGTAGCTGTCTGGAAAAATATGGTTGTCAGTACAAACAAGTGCTCTGAGGATGACAGGACAGGGCAGGGAGTGTGGGAAGAAGTTCAGGATAACCTCTCCTAAAAGGAGCTTTAAGTATGGCTCCTGAAATAAGGGATTAATAGAGACAATTGATCACCAGCCTGTGGAGGTACTAGTAAAACTACATCACATTAAGGATCAGGGCAGTAAGGAGCTAAACTTAAGGCTTCTCCAAAAGCCCCCAACCCACTTTGTAGTCAGTCTAGAGATACTCCAATCTCTGTGTCTAGACTTGAAGGACTTTGTGGATGAATCTTCCTAGGGACAACACATGGGTTCCTTTGAGGCTCTGGTCATCTTAGCCAAAGAATTGCAAGGGGACAGGAAGCAATATGCTTAAGTCATAATAGCCTGGAAAGGGGGAAGTCACCAAATGTATAAGAGGAGGCAGGTTATTATCATACCAGGGGGTCCCTCACTGGATCCATGGGTACATACCAATTGACACTGGGAGTTTCAGGGAGTACACAACCAAGAAAGGGAAAAAGCATTCATACTCAGGTGTAGGTAGGGGAGGCTAAAAGATATTTCTTCTACAGTGATGAGATGAAGGAGACCAGAGTACTATGTCAGTTCCCTTAAAACAATCTTGTATAGACCGTGAGAAAAGTAAATGGCACCTGGTGGTTGAACAAAGTTGTTATGCTGATTGATGTGGCTGTTCTGACCTTCCTGTCAATGTGATGGATAAGGAAGCCCAGGGCTAGGATGAATGGTATGGTTACTGAACTCACTAATGCTTTTTTCCCTCTTTTCCTGTGACAGACTAGTCAAGAACAGTTCAATTTCACCTGGGGAGGAGTCCACCATCCCTTCCTAGGGCTACCTGAATTTTCCTTCATACTGCTAGTCTGGTGGGCAAGAGACTAGAAAGAAATTCCACTCTTTTGAAGGCAATGATGGCCACAACTACATTGATGATAAGTTTGCCAGGTCTTATGAGGTCATGGTAGCAGAGGACCTATATCAGACAGTAGCCCATGTGAGGGTCAAGGAATGGAAGATCAACTCTAAGAAAATCTAGGGTCAAGTTTACTTCGCCAACTTTTCAGTAGAGTAAATCCAGATGACTCCAGATATAGCTTGGAACAAACTACTGACACCTGCTTCTTAACAGTCCAATAACTTATTGGACAGTTTGGGTTTTGAAGAAGCTACACTTTCCTCCTGGTTATCCTGATGGCCCCAATAACCTAGTTATTCACAAGTCTACCTCTTTTGAGTGGGGGCCCAGAACAGGCTACAGCCCTGGAAGATCTAGACAGGGTCATCTAGCAGTCTCATCCCCTGGGTTTTCTGACTCTGTGAGACCCAAGTTTTTGTAGGTCTCAGTCCAAGTCTTTGGCAGGTACATAGGGAGTGGCCAGGCCAAACAAATGTTGGGTTTTTGGAGCCACAAGTTCCCCAAAGCAATCAATCACCACACAACTTCTGAAAAGTAATTGTCTTGAGGTATAGGGTGGATGAGATCTTTATATACACTGACTCCTGAGTAAGGGCCAGGAGTCTGGCTAAGTCATCTGAGACCTGGAAAAACCAAAGCTACGCAATCAAAGTCCCCTGATCCCTTTGGGGTCAGGATCAATGGAGGAACTTTAGTGGTACCTCCCTCCATATTCAGTTACTTGTGGGGGATACATCAATGCCCATGAGAGACATCATATGCCCTCTGTTAAACTGAACAACATTAAGAGAACAGCAGAAGTGAAGGAGTGGGTCCACCACCAATCTGGATATGAGGGCCATGTGGTGAAAGGTCCCTTAACTAAAGACAAACCAGCTATTTCTGCACAAAGTCACCCCTCGTGCCAGTCAGAAATATGAGTAAGGTATGGTCCCAGTGGTTCCTGACCTGCCTCCAACTGGAAAACTGTTTAGCAAGAGGTTTGTCCTTAACAGCAGTTGAAACCTATTTGGGATACCACTGCAGCATTAGTCAAATTTGTTACCTCAGCAACTACCAACAAAATCCTCCCAGAACAAATTCTTTTTCTTTGTGAACACCCCTACACTAGAATCTCTGATCAAGGCATCCACTTCACTATGAAGGGCCAAGATAGCCTGCCTCCATCATCTCTGATGGGTTTTCTACCTCCCACACCATCCTTAGGCTGACACTGTTGAACTATGGAATAGGTGGCAAGAAACAACAGTTTTCTCAACATAGTTCTGACTATCAGCATTGGATATCCCACCTCTGTGAAGACACCCGAGGAAGAGGGAGAGCTCTCAAGTCCAGTGGTTTCTCAGATCCATTCTCCTGGAAGATTTGCCTGATAAGGCTAGATTGCTTTTAGATAGTCTTAGATAGTCTTGACTGACCTTTTTCAGTCCTTCTCTATTCAACTCACTGCAAAGAGTTGCCTGGGCCTTAAGGTCTCTGTCTCCTGAAGGGATTCCATATACCCTGGGGAAATGGCTCAAGGTTCTCTCAATTGGCAGGTCTCCTTTTCCTTGAAATGATTTGTACGAGTCTTTCCCAGAAATGGTTTGAGGGATGTCATTGTTGGGGCATACCTTGCTTTCTAGTGACATAGCTGTCTCGGCATAAATATTATGAGTATGATTTTACTTGGAAGATTGAGGATCTCTTAAATATCTTGGTACCAACTCTAAGTCACTGGATGAAGGTGAAGGGGAATCCGTGCCTAACCCTTGAGAAAGATGGGAGCACCCCCTGAGCAAAGGCTTCTAAAGGGACAAATATTTGGTGTCATCCTCCTGAGGAAGCTTCCAGATATGCGAAGGTTCTGGCTGGGTGTCCGCAGAAAAGGGGTCGTATAGTGCAAGTCTTGGTAACAGCTCAGGCTCTGGGAGGTTGCACGGCAGAAGCTTATGACCTCTTAGCTGCCTTATTACAGATGACCCTAGTCTGTAATTGTGCTGGAAATGCGATCATCCATGCAGTGGTCTTGATGTTCCTAGTTGGGCTCCTGTTCACTCTCATCGTTTTACATTCAGAGATATACTGTGCACTTGAACCTCTCCCAATATCATCAACCACATGGAAAACTCAGAACTCAGTCTTTCCAAAGGGAAGAGGAAATGCTTGCTATTTCTGGTCTTCATTCTCCATATATGGTCACCCTGGTACTGCACAGCTTTAGGGAAATGACACATTGCTCACTTTTTTTTTTTTTGGCTCTCTGTTTTTGTTTTTCTTTTATGGGCACTAGACTGTTCCTCCAGGCCAGCCTATCCAAGGTTCTCACATCCTCGAGGTCAGGATGATTCCTTAATGTCCCTATGGTTATTTAAGTGGCAGAAAGTACCCTAGAAGATCTACAGAATCATTCCAAGAGGTGGGATGTGGTAGAAACAACAATTACTTGGGTCCCTGTCATGTAGGTTTTCCCCTAAAATGTAAGGAAGCTGTCTTTACAATTTAACTGGACCAGGGTACTAGGGCTTGAGTTGTTAACATGGCTTTTCAATCACCTAGGGCATAAAAAGGCTAGCTAGGGCCATGAGGTTCTCCCAAGATTTGACAGATGTTCAGCTATCCTGTTAACCAACACACTCTGTGATACTTATATCTGGAGACAAAGGATAAGTATCCTTTCCATTCTATTGTTAAATGCACTTCTTTTTTGTTTAGTGCTGGACAGTCTACAAGTACCTTGTTTCATGGCAATTCTGAGCCTGAACCAGTAGACTCATCTAAGCCAAGCCTATCTCAGAACACCACATGACGATCATTTGAAGGAACTGAGGAGAAGAGATTTAGCAAGGAGGAAACATGATAGCTATCTTCCAAGCATTTGAAAGGTCATCACGTGGAAAAGGGATTTGATTTGTTCTGCCCTTGAGGACAGAGCCAGAAGCAATGGATAGAAGTGGCAGAGAGGAAAAATTTACGGTCGCTATACTGAAACAATGCTTCCTAACAATAAGAGCTATCCCAAAGTGGGAAAGGCTGCCGAGGGAGATAGGGGGATACTCTGCACTAGATAGAGGTCATCAAGAAAAGGCTGGACAGAATCAGGCACATTCTTAAGAGGACTATTATTCAAGTAGGGCCTGAACTATATGGCTTCTCAGGTCCCTTCTAAGTCTGAGATTCTGTGTTTTACCTCTAACACCTCAATTCTGATCTATACTTGTAACCTGATTTCCTAGTCATTCTGTTTCCCAACTTGTTATTTGATTCCTACACACCTGTTAAGAAGAGAAACTAAAAAAAGACCCACTGGCTATGATTTACTGTATGGAAGTACTATTAAGTTCAAAATTCTCTCACTTCTAAGAGAAAGCATATATCTACTGTTTTAAAATTTAACTGACAATTCATCTTTAAGATGTACAAACTGAAAAGACAAAGAAACCTAGATGAGTGTAGGATCAATTTGGTTATCTTTCTCCCTAGGAGAAAAACTTTAGTAACAGATGATCATAAAGAGATTTGTGGGAAATAGTAAATTTTCAAGAAGGGACCAGCGCATTGGTTAGCAGAGGTAGTAGTAGGAAATGAGAAGGTAGGAAGGAGCAGCACAGTAAAAGGCTAGGCAAGGATTTGAAAGAAAGGAATTAGAAGAAATTATGTCAGAAACAGAGACCTGAAGAAAAACATAATGCAACAAAAATGGATCCAGAAATAAAAATGATTTACTGTGCTAAGTGCTGGGGATATAAAGAAAAAGCAGAAACAATTCCTGCCCTCAAGGAGCTAACAATCTAATGAGGGAGAACACAAATACATAAAATCAGTACCCACAAAATAGAGTAGATGAAAGGAAGTTAAGATCTTCACAGAATGGCACATACTATATGTTGGGAGACACTTAATAGATGCTTTCTAATGATTATGAATATTGTACATACCCCTCTTCTGTCTCATTGATGATATCACAAATCTCCATATTCAATGTCCAGTCCTCACTCTGTAGGGATCCATCTGTAGCCTTTTCTATAAAAGGAGAGAGAAAAAGCTTTTATATTTCCCCTGGAATAAGCCAGCACTGGCAGGAAAAGTGAGGAATTATAACAATTATAGTAATTTATATGGTGTATTAATTTCTTAAATATTTTCTCATGTTTTCAAAGTAATATCTAAAGTGAACTTCACACTCTAAGGCAGGTTATTACAGGTAGGCAGGCATTATTACTGTTCTATAAATTAAGGGACTCAGGCTCTGAAACTCATTTAAAGTCACTCAGTAAGTGACTTAAAATACCTAGTAAGTGACAGAGCCAGGACCAGACTTCAGGCCTTCTGACTCCTTGCCAATGCCCCTTCCATTATACCATATGACCCCAGGCTTAACTGCCTACCTTTTTTTCACTTGGCTTGGTTTCAAATGACTTCTGGTAATTAATAAAAATCAAATTAATGTCAAGCATGGCATAAAACTGGGAGACATATGCTTGCCAAAGGTATTTGCCACCCTTTTGGGAGGCTATCTGACACAAAGACTAAATCAACAAGAGATTCCCTATAGAAGATGAGATCCTCCATATGCTTCTTGTTTCTTTACAACATTGTCACTGTACTAACAGCATGAAGCCCCAAACACTGCTGAGCTTCCCAATCCAAAATCACTAGAGATACTGGCCTGATTACCCACACAGAGAAAACCAAGTGACTGAAAAACTTCCATATCCATGCTATGAAATGCAGTTAAGATGAATAATTCATGGAGATGGTCCATCAGTACATACTGTGGGACAGCCACTGGACATGAACAATGATTCAGGGCTCATAGCTGAACATGAGGAGGGAAGTAGGCCAAATTATCTTTGGGAAAATGAGCAGCATTTTTAATGACCCCCAACCCTCTTCCTGTAATAAAATCCTAACTTTTAACAATAACATTCTTCTTGGGATGCTGTTTGGCTACAAGTCATGGACTGCCACAGTCTCTGAAGAATTAAAGTTAAAGGTCACTCAAAGAACAACAGAGAGGGGCCTGGTGAGTAGACTATGACATATTACCAAGGAAGAATTGCACAGAAGCAGCAGCATCATGGATAATACGGATATAGATATAAATATGGGGAAAATGATGGATCAGTCACACAAAAAGAACAAAGGATGGACAAATGGTTTATGTGATCCATTGGTATCTATGTAATATCAAGAGATCTACAGGACGGCTGTGAGTACTTTGAGTAGACCCCCTATGAACAGTTTATTGGAGAAAACCAGGGACAAAAATCAGACAGGAAAGGAAGGTCTGGCTACCAACATGCCCCAGTTTCCCCCTTCCTTAAGAAGCCTTTCACTTGACCCTCCATCATCTCAAATTATAGTCCCCCTTCTTTTCCACCCTTTCACAGTCAAACTCCAAGAACAAGCTATCTATACTCTTGCCTTTACTTCCTCTTTTCTCATTCACTTCTCAATAGTTCCCTCAAAAGTCACCTATTATCTCTTAACTGCAAAATAAGGCCTTTTCTCACTCCTCACCTTTCCTTCTTGACTTGTGCAGAATATGACATTGTTAACTAGCCTTTCCTTCTGGATCTTCTCTTTGGGTTTTTCTGACACTGCTCTCATTTCTTTTTCTAGCTGCTCCTTCCAAGCCTCCTCTGTTAAATTACCATTCACATCCAACCCACTAACTTTCAATGTACCCTTTCTCCTTCTACACCGTCTGTCTCTCTCAGTTCTCATCAATTCCCAGGGATTCAACCATTTTTGTTAAGCAGATGACTTCCAGATCTATATCTCTAGTAACTATCTTCCTGAGCTTCTACATCACCCACTGCCTACTGGACTTTCCCAAGTGTATATCCCATCTCAAACTCAACATATTCAAAACAGAATGTATTATCTTTCTCCCTGCAGTCCTCTCCTCTTTCTAACTTCCCAATTTCTGCCAAGAGTGGCTCTATCTTTTTGTCCAGGTTCACAACTTCTTAGTCATTTTTGACTTTTCACTCTTCCCTATTTCTCCTCATATCCCGTCAGTTAGTTTTATAGATTCTGCTTCTAGGGCATCTCCCCATCCAACCATTCCCTCTCCTCTCCCTTCATATGGCCATCACTCTGGTTCACTCTCACCACCTCTCACTGGGGCTACTGCAATGGCCTAATTGGTTACTTTGTATACAGTCTCTAATCTGTCCTTTACACCAGTGCTTCTTAAACTGTGGGTTGTGACCCCATATGGGGTCAAGTAACTGAATATGGGGGTTGTGAAAATCTGGCAATAGTAAAAGGTTTCTGAGCTTCCAACGACCAAAAATTAATTCAAAATCAAACACACAGTGAATCTTAGGTGTTTCTGGAAGCACTTGCCCGTGCTGCATCACGTGACTTCACTGTAGCCTTGGTTCTGAATACAGCATTCACAATTATAAAACCAAAATATCAATCAACTCTGAAAAACATTGAAGATGCTCTATGTCCTGCAGTATCAAATATTCCACTAGGATTTGATTCTCTATATAAAAATAAACAAGCACATCCATTTCATTTGCATGCAAATTTGCTTTTGTCTTTAATAAATGGTAAAATTATATGTGTACCAAAGAATTGTTTTAAAATCAATTTCTTTATGATTTATTATCAGTAAATGTTTGATTTGTATACCTATTTTACATACTCAGGGTCACATAAAAATGTCTTGAGTGAAAAAGGATCTCGAGTGGAAAAAGTTTAAAAAGCCTTGCTTGACACTGATGCCAAAGTGATATTCTTAAAGCACAAGTCTAACCACATCACTTCCCTGTGGCTCAAGAAACTCCAAGGGTTTTCTATTTCTTCTAGGATAAAATACAAATTCTGGCATTTAAAGCCATTCACAAGCTGGCTCCAGCCTACTTTTTCTAGGGTTATTACATATTATTCCTTTTTATATACTCTAAAATCTTGTCATACGAATTTAGTGCTGCTTCTCATACATAACACTCCATGCCCTGCGCCTTTGCATAGGGTGTCTGTCCCTCAGGCCTGAAATGCTCTCCCTCCTCGATTCTGCAAGGTCTGTAAAAATCCCTTGCTTTCTTCAAAGCTCAGCTCCTCCAGGAGGCCTATCCCTGTTCCCCAGCTTTCCCACAGAAATTGCTTAGTATATATTTGTATTTACTTATCTCGTGACAGAATATAAACACCTTGAGGGGGAGAGAATGATTCACAGTTTTTAGGTATTTCTAATGAATATTGCATATGGCTTAGAACATAGTAGAAACTTAATTAAATATTTATTAATTGACTGATGGATGAGTTTCAATCTCCATCACTGAAGGGAGTACTTCTACACATGAAATCACAGTTCCATAAAACTAATGAAGTATAAAAATCAAATCCACTCTTATAAGGACAAAGATTTATAACTGAGAAGGATAATCAAAAGAATGTAATAAAAGATTATGAACTATGAGGTCTTTAGGAATATGGGAGATCCCAGCCCACCCTTCTTAAGATATTCCAAATACTGAAAGATAAAGAAACAGGGGAAAATAAATCTCTCAGTAGCAGGCCAGGTATTTGCTATCCAAAAGTTGAGAAAAGATAATCCAAGGAAGAAGAGCACAAGGAAGAAGGGGAATAATCAACATTGGAGCTAGAAGGGACCTTAAACCTGAAGAAGAGTGCAAGGTGCAGGGTGGGGGCAGGGGGGCAATCAGGATTACAGCTACAGGAGCCCCTAAATCTAGTCCTAACTTTTCAAAAGATGAGTCAAGTGAGAGGTTAAAGCACTGAGTCCAAAGTCACACAGTCTGTGTCAGAGTCAGGATTGCAAGATAAGCAATTTGTGGATCTAGAAATTATACCAAAAAGAGAGAAGCTGAGGAGGCAAGGGAGTTGATCCCGGAGAAAAGATTAGCAAGGAGGAATATGAAAGCTGTGTTCAAATACTCAAAAGGCTATCTACCACATGGAAGAGAGAGCTGTCTTTTGATGTTCTACAAGACAAAACTAGAAGCAAAGGGTAGAGATGACAGGGATTTAGACTTCATTTAGCTTAACAGAAGAACTTTCTAACTATTAGACTGTGAGTGGTTGACAATGAAATGAGCAATCCTTTCTAGAAGCATTCTGCTAGAAGATGAGTGACTATATGTCAAGGACATTGTAAAAAGGATTCCTGCAACAGACAGAAACCTATATTACATGACCTCTGAGATCCCTCCCAACACTCTAAGAGTCTCTGATTTAAAAACCCTGGGATCCAGGGCTCTTTTGACTACAATGTGTTACTTCTTTAGATGTCTCAACTACAGGGATTAATTTTTTTATCTGTATCACCAACACCTAGCAGTGCATTAAACATAGCAGGTACTTAATAAATGTTTGTTGATCCTAATTGAATTAAAGAATTTAAATGAAATTATATTCATTCTTAGAAGGGGCCTGCCATTCATTCACTACTAGTATCAGTAACAAAGCTGTAGACAGACCTTTTGACTCCTGCATAAGCTGGATTTCAATGAGGCAGGGTTGCACAAAGTCATCAGCCTCTTCCTGGGTCATCAAAGTCCAGAGGCAAGACAAAAGTCAAGATGACTGGCAATGGCCCAGGATGCAGTGGATGACCTAGGTATCTTCAGTGTCTGACCAAGCTCTAAGTGCTTCACAACACCTGCTTCCGCCACCTTCACATCCCATTGAAACAAAACGTTCACACCCACCTATTCCACAAGTGAAGTCTTCACATGCTTGGGGTAGACATCCCCTTTAACTCACCGACAGGTCGGATACCTGCTGGTTATCCTCAAACTGGTAGAGCCCATCTGCTGACATAGCTTTACTGGGGTATGGCCACTGCACATGCTACAGCTTCTTAGATCCACAGGTAAGCTCTGGGTAGCAGGTGGACACCAAAGGCGGATGAGCAGCCCTGAAAAGGGTTCAGCAAACCCTCACACCAGAGGTACCAGTCCTCCTTGAACATCCCATATACCAATAGTTATTAACTGTCCATCTCCTTAGGTGGAGAAAATTCTCTTCCTTATCTGTAA